TTTTGTTCTTTTTTGTTTATATATTAAATAAAAATAAATATAAAAAAAAAATTTATAAATTTATTTTTTATTTTTCTTTATTTCTTTAAACATTTATTATTGATTTTTTAATTTTTTTCCAATATATGCCTTTTGTTTTTTTTTGTATATATTTAATAAATAAAAAATGTAAAATATATTTTTTTTTATGTATTATATGCATATTTTTATAGGATTGAAAATCAAGGCATTTTAAATAACATGGTTTTAAATATTAAATTATATATATATAATTATATATATATATATATATACTATTTTTTTGTAAATTTTGAATTGATATTGATTTTATTTTATATATATAATTCAATTAAAATGATGAAAAAAGATTGAATTATTGAAAAATATATTTAATAATGAAAGTGATTTTTGAGTTATTAATTTAAAATTGAATATGATTCATTGAATCCAAATCATTTTCATTTTTACCATATGTCATCTCCAAATTTGATAAATTTTATATATATATATTTATAATATATATTATTAAAAAAAAAAATAAATATATATATATGCTATATGTATATATATATATATAATATATATATATATACAGGGTGCGATGGATAAATTGTCATCTAAATTATGCAGAAATGAAAATAACACTGACATCTCATTTTAACAGATATATTTACCAAAATTACACAAAAATATCTTCAAATACCAAAGAGTAAATTTATTCAATAAAATCACCATTGGCTTCAACCACGGCCTCCAGATGACTTTGGAATCTCCTGCAACTTTGGAGTCTCCTTGTTTAAGTTGGTGAATGCTGCCGTAATCCTTGTCTTCAGTTCATCTTTGGTAATACAAGGAGTTTTTTTTGGTCTCTCACTTAACTGCGCCCCACACATAATAATCGATGGGGTTGCAGTCTGGGGATTTAGGTGACCATATGTAAAGGGTGATGTGGTCACAAAAAATGTTTGACAGTCATGACTGGGTTTGCCTTCTAGTGTGGCATGGTGCAGAGTCCTGTTGCCTGACATAGGGTTTCCAGCAGCCACCCTCTTGACCCAGGGCAGCACTACCTTCTCAAAGTACTTGATGTAGGCCTCTGTGTTGAATCTGAGGCCCTCACCAACAAATTTGGAGTTCTTTTCATCAGAATGATCAGAGTGAGTTTTCTGAGCTTTCTGATCATACCTTTGTAATCACCATTCACCACTCATCCAACTTTTTCTGAATCCTCTGCACTGTCCTGAGATTGACCCCCAGACAATTTGAAATGTTTGTATTGGAGCTTCTGGTGCAAATGCCAATCAGTACAGCATACCATTTCTAAATTTCTGGCATAGTGAATTGCATCATGGCACAGACAGTGGGGCAGTCAACAAAATCCAAAACAAACAACTGATGTGCCTATAAAATACAATTTATCAATCACAACCTGTATTTACTGCAGTGCTTTTAAAAAAAAATTAGCTTCAAAGGCCATTACTATTGTAGTTATTTTAATCCCACACTGGTTGCCCCATTCCCTTGGCATTTACAGTCTTTTTGGGGCTTAGTAAGTAAAAACAACTACTGACATAGAAAACTGTTCATCTTTTATTCACCTATTAGGAATTCATAATTTTGTTCTAGCTTAGGAGGTAAAGCAGAAACCAAATCCTTTTATTCAACAAGGGATAAACCACTAAACCTGTTCAAAAATATCTGTGAGGGAGGGTTCATTTATTGTCCGGTTCATAGACCTCCCCAGATTTTTTGAGCAGGAGTTCAATTTTTAGGATTCAGTTTCTTTTCCTACTAAAGACTACTTCAACTCTATACTTCTAATGTCTTCTAAAACTCTGAAATTACATTTATTATTTCTTTTATTTTCTTTATATATATATATATATATATATATATATATATATATATATATGTTTTTATCCATGAGGGGTGCTGAAAAAATCTGTACACACCAACTTTCACGGATGCCTTTCTTTGGTTGATTATTTATTGATTTCTAAGTTATTTACAATAATCCTATTTACCCAACATATCTGCTTTTGTAATTGGGTATACCTTGATGTACATATGGCTATGATTATCACAGAATTGCAGTTAGAAAATTAGTCTCAAATTTCATTACTACTGTGGTTAGTTTAATCCCACACAGACTGCCCCTCCCCCCAGCATTTACAGTTTTGTTCCAGCTTAGCAAATAAAAAAAATTATGCTCATAGAAAACTGTTCATCTGTATACCTATTAAGTTATCTATTACTGACAGATGCATGATAATATTAATACTGTTAAACATCTTTTCTTTTAAGTATAGCCAGGTCCTATCTCCAAGGTGGATGTTTAGGGAGGTGTCACCATGCCTGGAAAATTATTTTGTACCTTCTCCCTATAAAAATGATATAAATTCATTTTAGTGTGCTCATTCTTATAACATACCTATTCAGTGAATACATTTCCAGTGCTTGATAATATTTTACTTTAACTTGTATATATTGGTCATTTAAAAAAACTTTTATTGCAAATCATGAAAAAAGACATTGTTTCTTTTTATTTATGACTTTTTCCAATCTAGGAACCAGTCACAGTAGAATCTTGAACTGAGTGTTAGAATTCATATAAATGCATAAACATAAAATCTTACTCATATCACCACCTGACAAAAAACATGGGGTAGGGACCTATATTATATATATATATATATATATGTCACAGAAGCTCACACACATACATATATCACACATATATACATATCACACATATACATACATACATATCACATATGCACAAATACATATGTCACATACATTATGTATGCACACACACACACACACATATATATATATGTAGGGCTGGTCCTAGGGTTGCAAGCTGAACTTTGGCACCCTAACAAGTATAATTTTTTTAAATTTTCACAGGGCTGAAAATGTAGACTAATGAGTTTATTACAATATACAAATTAATCGAAGCTAAGAAAACATTCATTATCCTACCTAAGACATTCTTTTTTAGCCTTTAGGTCTATAAATCTTTTCATGGCAGTTTCTACACCAATCTTCTTTATGAGATCATTTTCTCTTGACAAAACAACTAAAGAATTTAATCTGTCTTGAGTCATGGATGACTGCAAGTATGTTTTTATAAGCTTTAGTTTTGGAAGATCCCAAACACATGACATGGTGGCATGAAGGCACCCTTGGCCTTGTTGGTGTTCCAAGTGACTGTCCAAGTTGCCAATACCTTGAGATGGCTCTCTATATATGTGTGCATGTATGTGTGTTTTAATTAAATATTTAGTGAATAGTGGACAACTAACAGGTTCATGTGTTTTCACTCAATCATTAGGTATTTATACCTCTCATGCAAGTCAGAAATGTTAAAAGTATAGTTGATGCATGTATACCATGCACACACACACACACACATATATATATATATATATATATATATATATATATTGAATTCTCCCATTGATTGCAGCCAGTGAGTGTCCAGCTTATAGGTTAGTCAATAGATGTTTATGTTGAATATGACACTTCATTCCCCTAAGAGACTTACAGACAAACGACATTAGGTGCAAGATTGTGGGTTGCTGGTCTTAATGTAGATCGTTCAGTCTTTGTTCTTGCCCCCCCTTAGATGTGGGAAGCATCTAATCATATATATATATATATATATATATATATGAGTAAATAGTAAGACAAAGTGGAAAAAGTTTCTTTGTGATATGCTTCATCTGTTAGAACTTAACTGGATTGGGTTTGTTGATGTTGTTGTGACTACACATGCACATGAACAAGAGACACTGGTAGTTTAATAATTTTTTAAATAATATTTGCAATCTAGCCAAATTCATCTATTTTTCTTTCCATCATCTTTGTTTTTAAATATCCCACATTGTGATAGCAGAAAATATTCTAAGAATGGTGATATGTTGTAAGAAACTGGATGTAAATTTACTGTTGCTGAGCTAGTGATTAAAGCACTTTCTAGACAGTTTTGTCTTAGTGAATTATTGAAATGTTCACTTATATATATATGTATAAGTCTGTTTCATGCTTAAATACAATCATCAGGACAACTGCATTTAAGCATAAAACACATTGTTGCTGCTGGGCATTGACCTCAATGTCCACCTTTTCACTTACATAAAAATCTATCCTTGATATCAAACTCTTTAAGTCGCAGATATAGTATAAAGATAATTAAAACTATATCTTTATAACATATATATATATATATATATATATATATATATATATATATATATATATTTTCATCAAATATAAATGAGTAGTAAGCATCAGCTGAAATTTCTTCTTTGTTTTCTACAAATTATATATATAATCAATTTAATATATATAATTAAAAAAAAGTTTTAAAAAATTAAACACGTCACCAAATGATTAATTTTGGAAGTTTGGCTGAAGGCCCACTTTAAAAATATAAAATAACGTTACACAACTTAAAAAGAGTTTTGTTTATCATTTTTTTTATTGTTTCTACAAAAATGTAATTATTTCACCATTGTGAAATTTATAAATAGAATCAAGTGACAAGAAAAAAATCCAGCCTGTCAAATGAAATTGGTAAACATCCACAATATTTATAAATCATTTGACAAATGTAATTAAGTATAAGCTAGCAGTTATCTCCCTTGATGAGCAGGCTTCAGCTACCCTGCCACATGTGAGTGAACCACACATAAATCATCTTCACAAGTTTCTTCCAGTTTTCATTCTCTCATTAGATTAATTTTTGTGAAATAATCAAGTTCAGTTATGGAGTATTTAAATAACGGAAGACTAGTAACAACTGTTTAACATATTTTTTTCAGTCAGAGCAATTTGCCTTTTGGTATAAAAATGTTAATGCATTGAAATGTTTCCTTTTCTGATTAAATTTATTCTTCCAAGAAAATAAAAATATAATATTCTTCATTAATTTTTGTTTATGCTTAAAAAATATCTCTGTCTCATTCTGTTTGCTCATTATCAATCTATCTCAGTTTATTCATTATGCTTCTATCTATCTATCTATCTATCTATCTAGGTCTACTCATTATCTGTTTATCTTAGTCAACTCATTATTTGTTTATCTATCTATCTCAGTTTACTCATTATCTGTCTCTCTCTCTATCCATCTATCTACCTATCTATCTATCTATCTATCTATCTCTCTCAGTCTCCTCATTATTTATCTATCTTAGTATACCCAACATCCATCTATCTCAGTTTATTCATGATGCTTCTATCTATCTATCTATGTATCTCGGTCTACTCATTATCTATCTATCTTAGTCAACTCATTATTTGTTTATCTATCTATCACTGTTTACTCATTATCTGTCTATCTATCTATCTATCTATCTCAGTTAGCTCATTATCTGTTTATCTATCTATCACTGTTTACTCATTATCTATCTATCTATCTATCTATCTCAGTTAGCTCATTATCTGTTTATCTATCTATCACTGTTTACTCATTATCTATCTATCTATCTATCTATCTCAGTTAGCTCATTATCTGTTTATCTATCTATCACTGTTTACTCATTATCTATCTATCTATCTATCTATCTATCTATCTATCTATCTCAGTTAGCTCATTATCTGTTTATCTATCTATCACTGTTTACTCATTATCTATCTATCTATCTATCTATCTATCTCGGTCTACTCATCTATCTATCTTAGTCAACTTATTATCTGTTTATCTATCTATCTCAGTTTACTCATTATCTGTCTATCTCTCTCTCTATCCATCTATCTCAGTCTCCTCATTATCTATCTATCTTAGTCTACCCAATATCCATCTATCTCAGTTTATTCATTATGCTTCTATCTATCTATCTATCTATCTATCTATCTATCTATCTATCTATCTATCTATCTATCTAGGTCTACTCATTATCTATCTATCTATCTATCTATCTATCTATCTATCTATCACTGTTTACTCATTATCTATCTATCTATCTATCTCGGTCAGCTCATTATCTGTTTATCTATCTATCTCGGTCTACTCATCTATCTATCTTAGTCAACTCATTATCTGTTTATCTATCTATCTCAGTTTACTCATTATCTATCTCTCTCTCTATCTATCCATCTATCTATCTCAGTCTCCTCATTATCTATCTATCTATCTATCTATCTTAGTCTACCCAATATCTATCTATCTCAGTCTACCCATTATCTTTCTGTCTATCTTGTAGAAACAAGTAACAGAAAACCTTGAAAACGTTGAACTCTTTTTCATTTCCTCTTAAATATAAGATAAACCAATCCAACACTCTCAATACAGTTTTTAACTTTTTTACACTTTTGTTAATTTTCCTGCAGATTCATGCTTGTCAGAATAAGTCAGAAAGATAACTAGAAATTAAAAGTGAGAACATCATAAAAGCAAAAAAAAAGCTCATAAATAATTCAGTGAAATTACAAAATTATAAAATACATTGGTAAATTAACCACAGAGCCCTTTCATGTAACCTCTTTTTATCTAACCCCCCAGAAAGGATATTTTGAACATGAAGAGTGAGACACTGTCTTATCTAACTCAAAGATTGAATCATGTCTCTGATACAAAAAAGTAAGGATTTGTTTTATCTAGCCCAAAGATAAGAATAACATCTCATAAGACACAATTCTTAGGAACTGCTTTACCTAACCCACAGATAGGGTTATATCTTTGACATTAAAAGACAAGATGTTTTATCAAAATCAATCACTGAAAAATATCTCTAAATAGGCTTACTTGCACTTCCTGGTTTGGCTGGATCTATCCTGGTATTATAAGCTATCAGTATTTGTTTTTTTTGTCAGTTTTGAAACTTAAGGTGTGTTGGATTATAAATTTATTTTATATAAGAGAACTAACCTTATGAAAAGATTGAAAACCTATTTCTGGCACTAAAGTGTTCAACACTTATTTCTGTTTAGATTTCCAGCATGAAGAGTTATCATTATTTATATTATTATTTTTTTGATTGGTTTTACCTCATGCAAACCAGTAAAGACACTAGGGGTTACAAAATGTGGAAGAATTAGTAACAGAAACATTAATAATGAGGAGGAAGAGTAATCAGGAGGACAGTAGATAGCAATTGAAATTGCATTTAAAATTTTTGCAGATCAAAGTTTGTTGGAATGCATGGAGTTGGAAGGAAGTTTCACAAGTGCAAAAAAGAAACTGTTAACATAGAATTTACGGCTACATCTAGCCAGCTCAATTGTAAATTGATGAGATCTTGATGCCAGTCTAGTACTGTGCTTAAATTCAAAAAGTCTAGGTATCATAACGAAGAACTCATCTGAACAATTACATTGAAATATTTATAGAAAAGGCACAGTGAGGCAACCTTATGGTAGTAGAAAAGTGACTGAAGCTGAGCTGCCAGATCAGGACCAATAATATTGCTGACTCTTTGGATTTTATCAAAGATCTCTAGGTAAACAGATTTGGACTATTACTCTCATCTTTGTTATTATCATAATGATTTAAACAATAAAAGATATGCAGATGACACAGTGCTGATAGTAGACACAAAAAGGAAACTACAAAACCTCCTACAGAAGGTAGCAAAGAAATGCAAGAATGAAAGACTAAGCATAAACTACAAAAAAACAGAACACATGGTTATCAACAAAAGAATGAGACCAAAATGCAAATTACAGGTCGGGAGTACTAAAATCAAGCAGGTACAGAAATTTAACTATCTGGGAAGTGTTCTTACAGAAGATGGAAAGTGTGACACTGAAATCCAAAGACATATTGGGAAGGCCAAAGATGCATTTGAAAAGCTAAGAAGAGTATAAAAGACAGAAAAATTTCATTGGAAACAAAGAAAAGAATACTGAACTGTTACATGATATTTATCCTCTTGTATAGCAGCAAATGCTGGACAATCTCTTCAATAATGAGGAAGAGATTTGAAGCAAAAAATCTGGTTCTACAGAAAGATGCCGAGGATACCATGGACTGAACATGTGAGCACAATGAGGTTTTAGAGTAGGTAGTACCAATTCAGACACAGAGGGGAACAGAGAAAGCAATAATTGAGCAGTATTAAAAGAGAACAATATAAGATGATCTGACATGGACAGCAGAATGAGAAGAACCTACCCACAAATGAAGTGTTTAGTCTAAAATTTCCTAAAAGTTACTTGTATTGACTGAAGAAAGCTAGAGGGTATAACAGCTAAAATGGGATGATAATTTGACTATAAATAATGTTCAGACAACTTTGTTATACAGTATTTACATTAGTCGGACTATTGTCCTCATCTTTGTCGCCATATTTGTCACAATGTTTCGGCTGTTGTACGCTTCGGTCTTCTTCAGGTGGTTGGAATTTTGAACTGAACCCTTTATTTTGATCACTGGGGTAGACTGTTCTAGTTCCATGTGCCATGTTTGATGGATGTCAGTTATCAGTTATCTCCTGCTAATTTTCCCGTTGTGACAAATATGGCAACAAAGATGAGGACAATAGTCCGACTAATGTAAATACTGTACATAATACCTCATCTCAGAAATATAGACAAACTTTGTTATATTCTGTTAAACATTTATGTTATAAAAATTTAATCGTCTAGGTTGATTTTTTGGTACGTTCTTTTATGAGAGGTATATTTTAATGAATGACAGACAGTTTGTGTAAAAAATTGTTACTCTTGTATATCTTTTTTGGCTTAGTAGTTAAAAACTACTAAATTTGTGTTTGACATCAAGAAGAGAGAAGACTTTTTGACAGCAAAAGGACAAGGCAAATTATAATCAAGGAACAGAAAGCATTTGACATCAAGAAGTGAGAAGACATTTTGACAGCAAAACGATAAGGCAAATTTTAATCAAGGAGCAGAAAGCATTTGACATCAAGAAGAGAGGGGAAGACTTTTTGACAACAAAAGGACAAGGCAAATTATAATCAAGGAGCAGAAAGCATTTGACATCAAGAAGAGAGCATCAAGAGACTGAAGAATTTTGAAGTTCAATTGAGAATTCCTCTGCAGTTGGAAAATGAAGAATGAAAATTATTCTAAGAAATTTTCCCAATCATGCACTGTGCAAATTTAAAAGGGACTTCACTAAAATTACAATATCCCCCAGAGACACTTGTGGGACAAGTAAAAGTGGGTGTTTTCATTTTCTTGAAACATGGTTGCACCTTTGTTTTCCTGCCTTCTTGAATTGTCTCTTTCATCATTGAATCCTTGTCTTTTCCCAAACTGTATTTTTTCCATTATTTGGTGGTAATCATTTTTAGCAAAAATTTATTATCATGCCTTAAGAGGTGCACAAAAGGAAATTTTTGTGCAAAATTTGTTTTTATACCTTTTTCATACTTGTGTAATAAATGTTTTCCTTTAAAATTCTAAGCAGTGGTTGAGTCTTGTATTGTGATTTTGCACCTATTATGACTTGCTATTTCTACTAATTAAGTTTTTGTGCTTGGTGTAAAAACTTAGATTTAGTAGAGAATAAATTTTTTATAATGTGTATAATAGTTTAAATAAGGTGTATTTTGGAAGCAATAATTCTTTCAAACATGTTTGGTTGAATAACATCAACAATTCTGTCTATCAAATTTTTTATTAACTTTTTCAAATTTTCGAATAGTCGTTTTATGTAATCGGTAAATCAAAAAAATACATATAAAAATTCCAGTTTGACCGTTTTAACGACATCATCTTGAGTGACTTGAAATTGGTTCCAACAAATGTTGGAATGCCAGAAATTAACCAAAAAGAGTTACTTGATGATACACAAAACACAATCCTTGAAAACCAATGTAGCAACATTCCAAAGTACTCAGGAAAAAAATAATATAAAATAAAAATAAATATGAACAAATATGGAAAATTTACTGATTACAAAAAACAACTAATTCAGAAATTTGAAAAGTTAATAAAACACTTGATAGACAGAACTTGTAAGTATTATTCAACCAAACATATTTGAAAAGAAAATTTATATATAATTAGTTGTTTTCAGTCATATTTAATTATTTAAAGAAGAACTGGAGTTTACTCAGTGATGTAAAAAAAATGAGAAGATAAAATTTAGTAGTTGTTTTTTTCTTTTGTAGAATATGGTATTTTATTCATCACAAGTCACTGATGAGAAGTTCAGAAAAATGGAAGATTCAATATAATTGATTATAAAAATAATTCAATATAACAACCTCATAGTGAATCGATCAATCTGAGTTAGAATAGCTTTTCAGATAGAGGCAAATGTGATATAATGGAGAGAAGAAATAAAACAGGATATATTGACTGTAAAAAAATAATACTGTTGGGAGTTTCTTTTTCAAAGGTCATTGCATAAAAACTATTCTTTTTTTTTTTTGTTGTTGTTGTTTAATACAGAATAAGTTTTAATTAACTGCTGCTTCTACTTCTATACACTATGACCCTTCAGGACATTGAGGATCATGGCTCTCCATAATTTCTTGTCTTTTGTAGCTCTTAATAATTTTTTCTTTTGGCTATCACCCAGCTCTGTCATCCATTCACTCAAACTAGATATATCAAACATTCAGGAAACATTACATCCAGTCTACTCCCCAGCCTTCCTATTTTTTCTTTAAAGGATTTACGTCTGAAATTTTGAAATTACTGGTTATCAGTATGTGGGCCCATAGTGGTAAAATAAAAGTGTCGACAGCGTAATGGCTATCAGCACAAACAGAAGAATCACAGAGCGAAGGTCAAATTCAAACCTTGAATATTCCGTTCACTTTTGCATAAATGCTATTGTGAAAAGGCATGAAACCATATTTTTTTAACCTCTATTGGTTAAATAGCAGGGTAAACTAAGAGAAGGGAAACTCTGTATTCAAAGGCAATAGAAAAGGAAACATGGAACTACTCCACTATCTTTCCCAGAAACCCATAGTAAATCACAGATAATAAAGTAAAAAGAATTTTTTAAATGCTGAAACATTGCATACACTACTGGTTCAATGAAAGAAATGGACAGGGGACACAAATAAATAAATGTTTTAAAGACTGACAGCATTACTCTTTGGTATGTTGACCACATGAATTTAAGTGCTATACTAGATTGGCAGCTAGGTCTCGTCATTTTCCAGTTGAAATTGCTAGCATGAAATCAGGAAAGAGTTCCAAAGATGAAAAGTGCAAGAAATGATATTATTAAAATAAAACGTATAGTTACATCTAGCTAATTTAGCAGTAAAGCAAGAAC